CTGCGCTCCTGCCCCGCCCCGAGCGACAGCTGGGTGCTCCTTCGGTCAGCGCTGAAGATGAGTGCGCCTGGCGCATCACCTGGTGGTCCTGAGCGTAGAATTCGGTTGGAAAGTAACAGAGCACACACAGTGAAAAGGTGTCAGAGGTTACAAATCACAGACAATGACCCCTTCCCCCCACAGACACACCCAAGAGCCCAGTCCGGCTCAGGGCCTTCAGCCCGTGCACACACGTGGCCTGAACACAAAAGCGCGTTTCTGTCTGGTCAGATGATGGGCCGTCAAATGCAGTTTTGTGAATGTTATGTCTTCTCATTAAAAATGTGTTTTGGAATTCTTTCCATATCAAAACAACACAGAGACCTTATTCTGGCTGCTTGTATCCTTTTCTACCCACACGCACACACTGTTGGTGTAGAAGTCGCTAAAGCACATGCGAGCACCATGTGCCCCTTCTCACCGGTCCTGGAGGCGGGGACGTGGCACACACATGCTGGCCTGGTTCTCCGTGGGGGCACGTGGTGATGCCGTCAGCCCCCATCGAGGCGCACCCAGCGCTCCACACGGCGGCTGTGTCCTGAGCCAGCAGGACCCTCCGTCCGGGACCAGCCCCAGGCAGACGCTGCTTCACTGCGTCCTCCACCTCCCCGCCAGGTCTCGGGGCCTTACCGCATCCGCATTTCCACTGGGTTCTTGCTTTCTTACCGATTGTGGGAAGCTACACACAGGATGCTAACGTGGTGGCTGCTGACCGTCCCAGATGTCTTCTGGGTTGAGTTCTCTGAGCTTTGCTTCTGGAGTTCCTGCATAAACTCGGAGGTGTGACCTGGACCAGTCACACTTCTCCCCCTTTTCCCTTCGGGGCTCTGGGTCTGGCCCTGCGCCAGGCCTTCCTCACAGGCCATCAGAAAAAAGTCCCAGCATCCCCTCCCACCAGGCAGCATTTGTGTCGACGCTAAATCTTCTCGAATTTACTTTTGTAAGTCACAGCTTCACTGGGAAGTGATTCACTTAACCGGAAACTCATCGTTTTAAAGTGTCCGACGGGGTGGTTTTCACTATGTTCGGGGTGCAGCCATCACCCCATCCAATTCTGGAAAGGTGACATTTGTTAGGAACCATCAAGCAGGAGCCCACATCTGTTTTTCCCCAAAGATCAGCCGATTGTTCCAACATTTACTGAACTGTCATGGTCCCCAGACGACTATCTAAACCCTATTCCTACAATAAACTCGGTCCTTACATACAAACGGCTGCTATGGCCCCATCCACTCCCTCCCACCCGCCCTCCTCACAAGCCCGTTTCGGTGGCGGCCTTGTCTCGGCACCGCGGCCCTCGCTCCTGTGGGTCCTGGGGGAAGGGTTCTGGTCTGCACGCAGTCACACCTGGTCCTCCCCCACACACAGCGGGTCTCTCCACGCACTTGTCTTCTTTCTGAACCGCTTCCAGAGAAGTCTCAGTTTTCTTCTCACAGGTAACAAACATTTCTTGTTAAATGTACTGCCAAGTGCACTGGTGACACTACATCATTACAATCATACTTTTCAGTTTTTAGGTGAGATGCTGTGGCTTTGTTTCTCAGAGTCTTGCCCTTCGAAGATCCACACTGAAGTGTCTGCTTCGAGACGACCTTTACCGGACAAACGGAGCGGCCACGTGCTGTGCCGCCCGCCGTTTCCCGCGTCTGCACAGCCTGACCGTCGTGAGCCCAGCCACTGCCTCGCTCCTGGCTTCTGCGCCGGGAACACAGGGAGCGGCTCGGCTCCAGCTGCCTGCCTTCTCCAGCTGCGGTCTTGCCATTGGGAGGCACTTCCATCCTCAGCATATGCTTCTCTCTGGTCCTTCCACACAGGAACGTTTCCTGCTGGTCTCGTCCCACGAGGTCTCGGTGACCAGAGCTGCGGGTTCACGGCGGGAGACAGCGGCCGCCCTCCCCATCTTCCTCCTCCTGTTAGAAATGCTTTAAGATGCTCACCACTGAGTGCTACAGTAACCTTTCTGGTAGGGTCCAGATATCTTCGGTCAGCTTATTTAATGTGCTATCTTTAAGTTTCGTTGGGTAGTTTTTTATTTTAAAAAGATTGAGCAATAAGCCCTAGCAGGTTTGCTCAGTGGTTACAGCATCAGCCCGTAGACTGAAGGGTCAATTCCGGTCAAGGGCATGTACCTCAGCTGCAGGGAGCATCCGAAAGGCAACCAATGGATGTGTCTCTCTCTCCCCCTCCCTTCTCGTCTCTCTAAAAATCAATGGAAAAAATATCCTCGGGTGAGGATTCACAACAACAAACAAAGATTGAGCAATGAAACCACCAGTTAAAGCAAGCAGCTTAACAACTTAGTTGCCCAGCTCGTCCCGAAGTGCCGTGAGAGACCGTGAAGGAAGGAGCAGGAGATTTTGTAGGGTCGCTGGGTAACTGCACACACAACAGCTGCAAAGAAGGCAAAATCGAAAACCTGAGCAAACAGGGAAGAGAAGGGAACGGGCCGAACAACCGGGTCCGATGCTGCACCAAGAGTGGAAACACCAGCGAGCGAGGAAGATGGCACGCGGCCCGGCGAAGGCTCAGGGGCGGGGAGGCCACAGGAGACTCTGACACAGCAGGACCGACCCCAACCACCAGACCCGGCTCCAACCCCAGGCTACAAAGTGAGGGTTGCACCTCGCCCCACCCCGCGCTCAAAACGCCTGTGACGCCCAGCTGCCTGCCACGTGACCAGGCCCTGAAACTGGCTTCTAATCCAAACAGCAAGCGCTGGTCCCACCAGTGAGAAGGCCGGCGCCGTGGGAGGAACACCCGGCGGGGCTCCCTTCCTACCAAGTGATTTCAGAGCATCACCAACCCCAGGGGCACACGGCTGCACACAGAGCGGCGTCCAGTGGGAACACACAGGAGGCGCTGGGCCACTCGGGAAGGGGAGGAAGTCTGACCCGTGAAGCCGTGCGGGTCCCACAGCGGCGGACACGCGTGGGCAGCCAGCAGGCACCTCGGGGGGCCTCCACGAGCTGTGTTCTGGTCTCGGGACCACCTCATTTTCTGGAAAATTACTAGGAACACCAGAGCGCCTTTGTGGTGTGTTATGTCCGTTAATATTTTCTGTCACAGAAATTTAAACTGAGAATGTTTAAACCACAGCACAGCTCCAATAAATGACAGTGTAAAAGGCAACTACGATTTTAGCATTTTACAGTCATACTTTTGACCCCAAGATGGCCAGAGAGGGTCTCAGAGAACTGGGATGACTTTAAAAACCGCCATGACAGCCCTAGCCAGTTTGGCTCCATGGATAGAGCATCGGCCTGTGGACTGAGCATCTGGGGTTCCATTCCATCAAGGCCACATGCTCAGGTTGTGGGCTCCATCCCCAGTAGGGGGCACAGGAGGCAGCCAATCAATGATTCTCTCTCATCATTGATGTTTCTATCTCTCTCTCCCTCCCCCTTCCTCTCTGAAATAAAAATATTTTTAAAAAACCACCGTGATATAACAATGAAAATGAACTAACAATACAAACAAATCCCACAAACATAACACTGCAGAGATGAGCCACACTGATACACGCCCCAGCAGGGTTCCATCTGCGCCAAGGCAGGGCGGGTACGAGGGCGGCAGGGCTCAGGGGGTGACCTGGGTGGACACTCAGGCAAACTGAATCCTTATCATTCCTGGGGTCACGAAGTCATCACCAAACCCCAAACCCAAGCTGTCTCCACAAGGAGCCCCTGAAACACAGGACTCTCTGGCCTTCCGCCTTTCATCTGCTCGCCACTAAGTCCTGCAAACAGCCCCGTACCCCTCAGTCTCCTCTGAGCCAGTCCCCACTCTCACCATGGCCACCGTCTGACACAGCCCGGGGCTGTCCGACCGGCACCGTTATGGCGTGCGGGGCGCCGTCAGGACGGCTGGCGCGTTTGCCTCTCACGGGGATGGCCCTGTTCAGTCTACTTTTGCTCACTGTCCTGCTAACGGAGGCCGTCCCTGCGTCTTGTTTTGTTTTGTTTCCCACTGGCCACAGTGTCTTCTTTCATCCCACTGTTTCCCGATTCTTTTGTTAGCTTGACATTCCTGTAGTTTCCCCTTTATAACCACATCTAGTGATTCAGTGTCCAGACTCTCTCTTAAAGATGAGAATCTGGATCAAAATAAAGAATCCGGATATAGACTCAAATTCGTATGCCACGCTGTATATGACAATGGCGCTTTTTAAACCAGCCAGGGGGAATCAGTCAATAATGCTATTGACATATGTGGACAGCCATTTCGAGGGAATGGGTTCCATAAAATTCAGCCATTTTGAGTGCATTAACTTTACATTTTATCACCAAATAAATTCTGTATGTCAAATATTCATAAACAAAAGATGAAATCCATGCAGTATTAGAAGACAGCTCACGTCAACTGACCCACAACCAGCAGTGCAAGTCCGTGTACCAGCACCCAGGCCCCCGGAGGACCAGCGGGAGATGAGGACCTGGGCCGCGAGCCCCTGGCAGGGCTGGAGGACGAGCCCGCCCGGAGCTGACGCCCACCCCCACATCCATGCGACGCTCCTGGTGCCACATCGTCACAGATGCACAACCACAGGCGACGGGAGAGAATGCTCAGTGGGGCTCGGAGCAGTGACCGCGCTGGCTTAACAGTCCAGCTTAAAGGTGACCGAGAGTGTCCTCAGCCGAGTCTGCTCCGTGGCACAGTAAGAGCACAACTATCTACGCCCCCAGCTCCCAATGCCCCTCGTCTACCCTCAGAACTGAGAGCGCACAAATGCTCGCCCGAACACCACATCTGCTCAGAAACCACACCCGCCCAGGCCCTGGAGACCCTGGCCAGGGAGGAGCCCCCGGACCACCTGCAGGCAGTTCCTGCCTGCCAGGGCCCCGATGCTGCGGCTGTGACCGCACTGCCACCCGGCCCCCTCCTAGAGCTGGTCCTCCCTCGGGTGGCCACATAACAAGGACACGCCTGGCATCTGGGACACACCAGGTGGTACCGATCGCATGCACCTCGGCAGCCCTGGATGCTGCTTGCTCCAACCAGGAGGACAGGGACTCCCGTCAGTTCCCCAGCGGGGGGAGGGCTGCCCCTGGGGAGGGGTCGCACCGGCCAGCAGCAAGCACCACGAGCAGTTGGCCACAAGTGAGTCCTGTCCACCCAGAGCCTAAGGCGCTCCATCCATGCCCTTCAATAAACAGGCACAGGGAGACACACGCTTCTCTATTAAAAGAAACTAATCTAAAATGCGAGAAAAGTAAACAAAAACACAAGTCAGACGCAGACAGGGACTTGAGGGCGGCCTAGAAGGCCCACTGCTGACTCTCAGGCCCACGATGGTCCACTCCGGAGCCTCCTGCCCGAGGAGGGAAAGGCCTACCTTCTGGGTGCGGTCACTCCCCGACGCACTCTCTTTGGAAGTCCCGCTGTCCTCCGTGGGAAAGGCGGCAGCCTGCTCAGCGCCCTGGTCCTCCTCCTCGTCCAGCTCCTCGGAGTCCTCCTCCTCCGAGTCCATCTCCACGCTCTCCCCGTTCACGTGGAGGGTGCTGTCGCCCAGGTCCTTCTCGCTCTGGAACGGGCAGGGGGACATCCGTCACGCGGAGCCGGGAGCAGGACAGCCTGCTAGCCCCCAGCGCAGGGCGCCACCACCACCTGGACGGGAGGCGTGGCCTAGAGCAGAGGCGCCTGAGAGCCTGGGCTCCTTCAGAAGGGACCGAGGCCTCCCCCCTCACCCTTGGTCTGTCGGCCGCAGACAGTCCTGGACAGACACACGGCACCGCCGCGCCCTCACCTTGGAGCCGGCAGTGAAGTGAGTTATGCTCTTAAACATCTCAATCACCGTCCTCTGTTTTAAGACTTTGGTCTTTTTCCTGGGAACCAGACTATAGGTTCCCATTCTTCGTTTTTTCTTTCGAGACACTGCAGCTGCTAAAACAAAAGGCAAGGAAGCTAAAAAAAAAAAAAGTCAAAAGGAGAAAAGAAAGAAAAAGAAGTGCCATTCAAATGTGTTTTCCAGGTAGGGGAGCTCTCAGACCTGACCACCAATATTCAGCACAGACACGGGCGGCAGAGGGCAGGGGCGCTCACGGGCGTCCGTTTAATTCACAATAAAACACTGAGCTGTACGGATGCAAATGGGACCCTGAGAGCCCCGCCCCTGCACAGTGCCCTTCCCGCCACCCTCCTCCTCGCTCCGTCCACCACCCGAAGGGCAGGAGGGCGCTGGGTGACAGCGCCCATAGGAAAGTGGTGGACAACAGCTGGAACCAAACATTTTTTTTAAAGTTCCAGGGTTTAGAAGTTTCTGAAACCCACTGAGAGACAGACACTGCTTCCTTTGCTGAAAAGGGCATTCACAGGGCACCTGGCAAAAGCTGGCCACGGAGTCGCGGCACAGCTACCGCCCCATGGTGGCAGTGCCCTGTTTCCAGGGACACTACACTGTCACTGTAGGAAGCAACACTGAAGTATCTAGAGGCCAAAGGGGCCAATGTCTGCACCCCGGCTCCTGGGTCAGGAGTCGCGTGGGGGGAGCACACAGCTGTGCCGGTGCTGAACCGGGCGCGGAGATGCCGGCCGAGTCCCTGCACCGGCCGGAAGTACTTTAAAGCCCAAGAGACATACTGCTCTGACTGTGGACACGCCCCAGGCAGCCTATGGAAAACGGGGGGCAGCAGCCGCACCCCCGCAACCAGGCTGACTGGGCTCACCTGCATGTCTGTGCCCCACATGCGCGGGCCTCGTGCAAAGGGCCTTTCTACACTGAAGGGGGCCGTCCTGTCTGCAGGAACTGTGTCCCAGTAGCTCAAGAGCGAGCCCCCGCCACCCCAAGGCACATCCACCAGCCTCCTCGGGTGGGGCCACCGTGCAGCCACCTGCCCTAAAAGGCCCAACCAAAACCACATGTTCAGCCACTGCCCCAACGGCACGAACAGAAGCAGGCTTAGGAGAGCAAGGACGCCCACAGGAAAGGGGTGGACAACAGCTGGAGCCAGAGCACCGCTCCCCGCACCCTCCACCCACAGGCCCCCAATATCACGGGGAGTTCCCCCACCAGCGTCTTCCACCCAACAGGGCGACCAGGCAGTGAGAGTCCGTCCTGGAGGCCATCTTCACGTGAGACTGACAAGGCAGGGGGGAGGCTGCAGGTTTCCAGGGGAGCCCAGGACCCGCCGACGCCAGCGCGCCCCCCCCCGCCCACGCACACTCACACGCAGTCACACAGGGCTCTGGTTCGGCAGGTGCAGGTGGGAGACACGTGTCCAGAGACGCCCACGCTGGGCCTCACCTGTCTGTGACTTCGTGGTGGCCACGTAGCACTGGTTCTGAGGTAGCGACTGATGAAGGGGTGGGAACGGGGGCAAAAGCTGCTGTCGTCCAAAATCAGAAACGTCCTTGCTGAGCTCCTCTGCGGGCTCCTCATGACCTCGAGCTTCTCGAGGGTCCTTGCTGGCTGCGGGCTTCAGGACACAGACAGTCAGTGACTGTAATGACACACCAGCAGCCGCACGGAGACCGCGGCCCCCGGCACAGCTCCTTTCGGTCAACGCCCCGCCACCGAGATGAGTTCCCGTGAGAGGCGGGAGGAAGTGGCGCCCAGCTCTGGGGACTAGACGGGTCAGCGCCGTGAGCTGAGAACGGTGTCTACATTTTTAAAGGGAAGGAGAAGCAGCAGCAGTGACCCCGTGTGGCAAAACCCTAAGTACTTCCACCTGGCCCTGTGCAGAAGTTCGCCAGCCCAATTTATTAATAAGTTATGACTAAAAGTACCCTCAATGGGTGGCATCAAAGGATCTCCGATCGTGCCTGCAGGGTGGTCCATCGTGGCTGCCCTGAGCGGCACCCCCAAATGGCACAACAGAAAAATCACACGCATCTCTGTCTCTGCTGAGTGTACAGAGCTCCTCACCCTGTCCTCGTGCTCAGCCTGCCGAGGCCCCAGCAGCCTGGATCCGACGTCCAGCCTCCGGCCCTGCGGTCATGCCACAGCCACCCACAGCCTTGAGGGGGATGGACCTTAAATCCCATTCAGCCTAACCAGGTCCACTGCGCACACGGGAGGTGCAACAAAGAGTCAAGGTAAGCATCCTCAACAAGTGACGCTGGGAACTGGACATCCACACACACAAGAATGGAGATGGACCCTCACATCACACTAGGTACAAAAATTAACTCAAAACGATCAAAGACCTAAAACTACAAAAACTCTTAGAAGAAAACAGTGGGAAGCTTCATGACACTGGATTTGGTGGTGATTTCTTGGACATGACACCAAATGTATAGGCAACAAAAGAATAAATGGGCAAATTAGACTTTTCAAAATTAAAATGTTCTGTGCATCAAAGGACACAATCAATAGAATGAAAAGGCAACCCAAGGAATGGGAGAAAATATTTGCAAATCATATATCTGATAAGAAATTAACCAGAATATATGAAAATTCTACGATTCAACAGCAAAACAAACAATCAGATTAAAAAATCAGTAAATCATGTGAACAGTCGTTTCTCCAAAGGCACAGCAATGGCCACCCAGCACGTGAAGATGCTCAACCTCACCCATCACCAGGAAAACGCAAGTCAAATCCACAAGGAGCCCGGCCGGGGGCCCAGGGGTTGAGCACAGACCTATGAAGTAGGGGGTCGCAGTTCCATTCCCAGTCAGGGCACATGCCCAGGTTTGCAGGCTCGATCCCCAGTAGGGGGCGTACAGGAGGCAGCCGATCCATGATTCTCTCTTATCGTTGATGTTTCTCCCTCTCTCTCCACCTCCCTTCCTCTCTGAAATCAATAAAAAAATATATATTTTAAAAACTCACAATGAGATAGATAGCACCTCATACCCATTAAAATGGCTACTTTCGAAAAACAACCACCATAAAATTATCCATTACGCCTCAATTACAACACACACACAGGAAAAACAGGTGCTGGCGAGGGGGCGGACACTGTAGCTGGTCACTGCTGGCGGCCATGTGCAAGGTGCAGCTGCTGTGGGACAGTGGAGGGGCCTCGGAAAGCTAACTACAGACGGCAGGCCGCCCGGCAGTCCCGCTCCTGGGCCGACACCCGTAAGAATGGAAACCAGGGCCTCAAGGAGATACTTGTACGCAATGGTTCAGAGCAGCGTTGCTCACAGGAGCCCAGGGCTGACATCACAGAGGCACGGCTAAGCCACCTGTAGTCCATCCGCACGGCACATCACTCAGCCCTGAGCAGGAAGGACTTTCTGCTCCTGCTACAACCGATGCCCTTTGGGGACATTACGCTGAGTGAAAGAAACAGACTCCAAGGATAAGTCCTGTGGGTCCCACACACACGAGGTCCCTGGAGGAGTCAGACCCACAGAGACAGACAATCCCTGGTAGTGGGCGGGGTGGGGAGGCGGTGGGATGAGTGTTTAAGGGGACAGTGTCCATCTGGGAAGATGAGAAGGTCCTAGAGAGGTTCATGGGGGTTCCACACCGTGAATGTCCTTCATGTCCAGAACTGGACACTTAACACTGGCTAAGATGGTGTATTTTATGCTGTGTGTGTTTTCATTGCCTGGGGTCACGGTCCAGGCGGCGGCTGACTCTGCGGGCTCTAGCTGGCCCCTGGCGCACCCCTCTACCCCTCTATCAAGGATGCTCTCCCACCTGATCCAAGTGCTACTCCTTCCACAGCCTCCACCCTCCGCCGTGGCACAGGGAGCACTGTTTCAATGTAACTCCTTCGCCCTGCAAAATGCTGACAGGTTTGTCTAACAGTCACTGAACACAGGCATCACATTCTGCTTCCTGATGTCCCCTCAAATCAGCAGTTTGAGGACAAATGAAGGCATGGTCTTAGAGAAAGCAAACCCTGAGGGGAAACGGCCACACAGGCTACTGAGGGACAAACCTATTCTTTAAGATGTTATTTTGAAAATCTAAAAAATAACAAAAAAAAAGCAAGATTCTCGATTTTATTAGGGCTCTATTATTTGTAAAAGCAAAAACATGAGCCAAGAACTGCCTCCCACAGAGGCTGCCTTGATGGGTCCAGGGCACCCCACCCAAGCCTGAGCCCCGCCCCCACAGAGTACAGCTGTCGCACTCCCAGAGCGCACCTGCGTCACACCTGCCGCCCACCCGCACCAGGCTGGCCCAGACCCCACCCGGCACCCCAACTGGCACAGGGTCCAGTCCTCGCCACCCGCCCGTGTCCCGGCGGCCACCTTCCGCGGCGGGGGTGAGCCCTCACAGCACAGACCACGGCTCCTTCCAGACAAGTGGGCGCGACCGCACAGGATGGGCAGTGACTGCGCTGAGGATGGCGGGGAGCTCCACGAACTGGCTGCACCTTTTTCTCAGAACCTGGGGAATTCCGGGGGCACACGTGGGAGGAGGGGATGTGGTGACACAGATAGAAGGAGAAAGCCAAGGGGCCACTGTGCTGACGCCCCTGCAGTGTGTGCAACTCAGGCAGAGAAATAGGGCTGCAATGCGGGCCAAGGTAACAAGGACCTCAATGCAGGACTAAAGGCTCCCTTCTAGAAACTTCCACTTTCTTTGCCCAAGCAGTGGAGGTACCTGCTGCCAGGGGACAGCAGAAGTGTGGCCTGCAAACGCCTGCATTTTACACTCTTACAAAGATACATTTTTTGCAACATTCATTTTATCATTGAAATGACTTGTCTTAAAACACAATTTCCAAGCCCTGGCCAGGTAGCTCAGTTGGTTAGACTGTCATCCCCATATACCAGTGATGGCGAACCTTTTGAGTTTGGTGTGTCAGCATTTTGAAAAACCCTAACTTAACTCTGGTGCCGTGTCACATATAGAAATTTTTTGATATTTGCAACCATAGCAAACAAAGACTTATATTTTTGATATTTATTTTATATATTTAAATGCCATTTAACAAAGAAAAATCAACCAAAAAAATGAGTTCACGTGTCACCTCTGACACACGTGTCACAGGTTCGCCATCACTGCCATATACCAAGGTTGTGGGTTTGAACTCTGGCCAGTGCACATATAAGAATCAACCAATGCCTGGCTGGCGTGGCCCAGTGGTTGAGCGTCGACCTATGAACCGGGAGGTCACAGTTCCATGCCCAGGTTGCAGGCGTGTAGGAGGCAGCCAATCGATGATTCTCTCGCATCACTGATGTTTCTCTTTCTCTCTCTCCCTTCCTCTCTAAAATCAATAAAATATCTTACCAAATAGACAAACATGTAAATTGACCGTCCCTCCGCTACGCTCACCAGCCAATCAGGAGCATATGCAAATTAACCCAAAGATGGCGGTTAATTTGCATACACAGGGGCGAAGCGGAGGAGCAAAGACTGAAGGCTCTGTCCGGAGCCGTGAAGACTGAAGGCTCTGGCTGGAGCGAAGGCCTGGTTCCCGGGTGCCAGAGGAAAACCGCTGCCGGCAGCCAGGGGAAGGGAAGGCCTATTGCACGAATCTCTTCGTGCAACGGGCCTCTAGTCCTATATAATAAAAGCATAATATGCTAATGACGTGCTAAGGCCGCTCAACTACTCGCTATGACGTGCACTGACCACCAAGGGGCAGACTCTCTGACCGGTACATTAGCTTGCTGCTGAGGTCCGGCCAACCAGGACTAAGCGAGATGGGCCAGACATGCCCTGGAGCCCTCCCGCAGTCCCTCCCTGGCTGGCCAACCTTCCCCGTCCCTCCCTGGCCCCGATCATGCACCAGTGGGGTCCCTCGGCCTGGCCTGCGCCCTCTTGCAATCCAGGACCCCTCAGGGGATGTTGGAAAGCCGGTTTCAGCCCGATCCCGCAGGCCAGGCGAGGGACCCCACTGGTGCACAAATTTGTGCACCGGGCCTCTAATATATACATATATATTAAATCAAGAAGGATCAACCAATGCCCGTCTGGTATGGCTCAGCTGGTTCAGCGTCATTCCATGCACCAAGAGGTCACTGGTTCAATACCTGATCAGGGCACATGCCTAGCTTGCAAGCTCGATCCCCAATAGGGGGCATGCAGGTGGCAGCCAATCAATGTTTCTCTCTCATCAATGTTTCTTTCTATCGTCCTTTCCCACTCTCTCTAAAAATAAATAAATAAAAAATATACATACACACATTATACTAATATATAATCAACAAGTACATAAATAAGTAGAACAACAAATTGATGTTTCTCTCTCTCTCTAAAAATCAATAATTTTTTTTAAAAAACTCACAATTTTCAATAAAGCTCAGATTCCAAAGAAAACCAAACAAGTCAGAACTGGGTTTGGGGAGCAGGCCATCCTGAGGGCAGCAGAGGCACCACATCCAAGGGGCCTTCGGTCCTCGCCATCCTGGCCGGGCATTTCCTCCTCCCCCTACAGGAACCCCAAGGAGCAGTTTCCAGGCTGTGGAGCGGCAGGCGTGGCCTTCAGGAAAATAGTTTCCAAGCCTCAAACCCTTCCATGCTCTTTTCCTACAACTGACCAGCCGGAGAATGTTCAGGAATTTCCAACAAAATGATGTGTTGCAGCCAACTGCATACTAATAATCATAATAACTCAATTCAAACAAAGCTAACACTTAATAAGCACATGGTCAGAGAAACTCGATATTAAATTTCAAATTGCTTTCTTTCCCTAGAGCAGCGGTTCTCAACCTGTGGGTCGCAACCCCTTTGGGAGTCGAACAACCCTTTCACAGGCATCGCCTAAGACCATCGGAAAACACGTATATAATTACATATTGTTTTTGTGATTAATCACTATGCTTTAATTATGTTCAATATGTAACAATGAAATTGGGGGTCACCACAACATGAGGAACTGTATTAAAGGGTCGCGGCGTTAGGAAGGTTGAGAACCACTGCCCTAGAGGAACCTGATGAGGTGACAAAAGATCCTCAAGAATAAAAATGTGGTAGAATAAACACCTGGAAGAGGGAATGGAATAAAAGTCTACTTTCGAGGAGATTAAATAAGTGATGTAAAATTTCTCACAAGCATTTTGAAATTGATAATGGTGGACCAAAAAAAAAAAAGTAGGCACAAAAAATGAACTTCATCTAAACCTCACACCTAATACAAAAATTAACTCGAAATGAATCCTATATTTAAAGTTCACATGAAAGTAAAAACTCCTAAGAACCAGAGAAATCTGGGGACCTAGGGCTTGTGAGCTCTTGGACGTGACACCGAACGCGTCAGCCATGAGAGGAGGAGCTTCCCCCTTTGCTGGCTGGACCTCGTCAACAGGAAGAGCTTCCCTCGAGACACTGAGAGCATGAAGACACGCACAGGTCAGGGAGTCGGCAGACGCAGACCCAGCACCGGCTCTTGTCCGCAGCCTCCCGCTCACAAGACACGCGGTAAACCCAGGAACGGGCGTGAAGGACACACAATGGCCACCAGCGTGTGCAGAATTAAACCACAACGAAGTCTCACAGCCAAAATTAAAACGGCGGCAACCCCAGCGCTGGCGAGGAACTGGGCTGCTCAGCCCATGCTGGGGGTGTAACATGCCATGGCTTGTCTGGAAGGTGGCTTGGCAATTGCTTATAAAACTAAATCTCCAATTACCACATGATCCTGCAATTGTGCTCCTGGATTAACACAGAGAAACGAAAACATAGGTCTAGACAAGAATGTGTGCAAGCCTTGGCTGGGCGGCTCAGTGGGTTGGAGCATCGCCTCGCGCACCAAAAGGTTGCGGGTTCAATCCTCAGTCAAGGTGCGTAGGGGCGGCAACCGATAGATGTTTCTCTCTCTCTTTTTCCCTTTCCACTCTAAAAATCAATGGAAAAAATATCCTCAAGTGAGCATTAACAAAAAAATAAATAAAAAGAGTAATACAAAATATAGCTAAGAACACTATGAAAAAAGTAGCGGTGAAAATTAAAAATAGGAAATGACCAGCAAAAATGTCAAAACTGGAACCCTGTGAGCTGCCATGCGAGAAGACAGAAGACCCATGTCCACGGACAGAGCAGCGCACGGAGCATGTTCCTGGCGCTGAGGAGACACGCAGCCAGGCCCTCAGGCCCCATCGGGAGGCGGCCCAGAGGGAAGCACAGGGCCCTGCGGACGACGGACAGACGGGCAGCAGCGTGCTCCCCAGCAATGCCCGTGCGAGAAACCCCAGGGGACGTGCCCACAAGCCTGAATCCACAGGAGTGGAGACGCGCAGCCCTGCGGGCCCTCAGAGTGCAGGTGGCGTGCGGGCTCGCAGACGTGGGAACAGCAGCAAAGGCAACTGGCTCGGCGTGAATCGGGAACGTGCCGCCTATTCTCGGCACCAAGCCCTCAGCTGCTGGCTGGGTGCAAGGGCAGAGACCTGGACGTGTCTTCAGTGCGGTCCCCCGTCCCTCCGTCTGAGACACTGGCCCTGGCCCACCCACTTCCTGTCTACTCACTGCCCGGGGAGACGGCGTGGGCTCAGGGCTGGAAGGAAGTCCCCAGCCCGAGCAGGAGTGGAGTCCGCGACGCATTTACTCGCGGGCCACAGGCACCGCCCAGAGCACAGCCCAGAGAGCCGGCTGAGGGCCCGCTGCGCCGCTGCCCCTCCGACTGTGAGCAGCATCTCCTGACCTCCCACCCCCAGGCGGCCACCCACTGCTGCCCTGCTCCTTCCTGCACTGACGCCCACCTGCCAGGGCACAAACAAAAGAGAAGACAAAGGACGCTGCCCCTTCCCCGCCCCGACGGGCGCATTACCAGGCCCAGGACGGACTTCGGCATGGTCTTCCGAGCCCTATGAACCTTGACATCTGCGCCCAGGGCCGCGGGCTTCTTGTCCTCTGAGTCTTTGCTCCCTTCCCCGGGCCTGGCTGGCGCGGCGGCTGGCGTCTGAGAGAGCACGCTGGGAGTCCGCCCTTTGCCAGCCGCTCCTGGGAGAGTCTTCGCAGCATGGCCGGGAAGGGAGGGTGCCAAGGTGCTGGGGACCCGCAGGGCCGGCTCCTGCAGGGCTGGTTTGCTCAGGAAGTACCCGTTGCTCCCGATGACAGCCGTCTGCGTGAGGTCGTCAGCCGGGTCGTGGTTCTGCTTCCCCACGTCCGCGTCTCTTTCTGAAACCCCGTTCTCCGCTATCCGGGTCAGTTTATTGGGACCTTCCTGGGGGCTGGCTTTTGCATTGTCCTGAGTGTGCTCAGCTGGGGTGACATGCCTGCCGCTATCACTCCTTTCACAGGACCCGTTGGTGGCCCCGTCTGCAGCCACGTAGGCATCTCCTCCCGGCTTCTCGGGGGAGCCTTCATCGGCAGCCATAGAGAGCTCTGCAACAGAGGGGGGAGTCAGATGCTACAAACATCAGTGACCCATTTCCATAACAGGCAAATGGCTTGAACAGGCATTTCTCCAAAGAAGATACACAAGTGGCTAACAAGCACATGAAAAGATGCTCAAGATCATCAGGGAAATACAGATGAGAACCACCAGGGTAGTGCTGCCAAAGAAGGTAAGGCCACGGCTGCAGGGGGCGGAGGACGAAGCCCTACAAGGCTGGAGGCATGCAACGTGGTTGGCTGCTGCGGACATGTCTGGCGGCTCCCGGCCTCAGCTCAGGGCCCGGTGTGAGGGGAGTCCCTGGCCTCACTCACCACTGGATTTACAAAAGGCCTGAGGGGAGCCAGGGAGGGCGTGCTTCCCCAGCCTCGTTTTATCTTGTCCCAGACGCAGGCAGCGTCAGCGTGTGGCTGCGAGAACCGCGCAGCGCGCCCTCTGGCGGGAGCACCCCCTGCACCCAGCACTGTTCAGGTGCAGCCGGAGCGGCTTCGGCTGAGGGAGTGAGTGAAGCTGCCAGCAACTGGTCCATGACCACTCAGTCTGGCTGTTCCGGGGGGACCTGAAGGGCTGCTTTTCACTCCTCAATGAGGCTTTCTTTCCCTAGACCTTGCGTGTGCCTGCGTGCCTGGGAGGGGCGAGAGGAGAAGCCAGACGGGGCGGACCCCCCTTACCTTCCTCTCCCAGCAGCTCGGTCTTCACGCAGCAGTCCTGCCTGGTCTCCCCCTTGGCCGGAACTGCCTGCTAAAGGGAAACAACTGTCAGACTGGAACCTACGAGGCAGACCAGCCATTCGCCACCATGACTTCTCTGGATAGAGTCCTGAACCCAAACCATGTCCCAGGGGACAGTCACTGTGGTGGCTGGACAGCGCGGGCCCTGCGGGAGGAGGGTCAGGACAGGTGAGGGCGCACGGCCCCGGGCTATGGAGCCACTGTAACAAGCAGCGTGCGTGCTCGCACCAGGATTTCAGAGTGTGTTCTGCTGTGACAGGGACCCACCGAGTTTCAAATGTCCAACAACCTATGTTACAGAGCCGGTAAGTGAGGTCACCCTGAGTCACCCAGGGCTGGCCCACGCGGCGGCCTCCTGGGATGGCCGGGAAGGTCAGCCTCTGGTGAGACATGAGCATGACCCGGAAGGCTCTGTCCGGGCCCTCCAGCCACCGCAGTGGCCACTGCAAGGCCACGAATGAGAAGGCAGTGCCATGCGCCTCTGGGGGCCAGATGATGCAGACCCCAGGTTCCCACTGAGTGCTCCAGAACCCAAGGCATGACCCACGGGCGTGACACGTGTGTAACCGACTCCTCACTGGGCGGCCACGTCCCGCAGCAGCACAGGAGGCAGCGAGACGTGTGGTTCCAGCCACAGCAGATGCCGAGTCCTGCGCTGCCCCTTGCTCCTCTCTGCTTTAGACGCCGCCACCCGAGACCTGGGCCGGAGCTGGCCTCGTCCCTGGAGAAGCGCTGCCCACGCGAGTGGGGGCTCACACGCGGACGCATCTCCCGGCCAGGACACTCCTGCGATGGAGAGCGCTCTGCGCCCACTGCCTAATGGTAAGCTATTCCCAACGCAGCAGTTCACTAGCTCATTGTCAAGGGGTTGGGAGAGAATGAACCCTTTCAACAGCTGGTAGATTTCCTTTTTCCTCTTTTGTCCTTTTGTTTCTTCCCTTGGCAGAAAAAGGAGTTAGTTCCTAAATTTGGAAAACACAATTAATATACAGTTGCTCCATAATTTACATTCAAGGGAACAAACTCTCTGTTCATCTGCTACTTAACCCTCCCCTGGCCTGTCTGCAAAGGAGAAAACCAGCGTCTACCTCCTGCCCTCGCCTGGACAGGTCTCTCGGCCCCGTTTTCCAAAGACTGACGGCCAAACCAGCACAGAGCCCATGCCCACGGCCCGCCAACAGCCACGCTGACGCCGCTCCAGAGGGGAGTATCCCTGGACGGGCCACTGCACCTGCCTGGCCCGGAACTGTGGCCAGTGTCCGCCCCTTAGAGTCGGAGGCTGGGCACTGACATCAGCGCAGCCACACTGTGAGGAGCCCAGACCACAGGAGAGGCTGCGGGGGACGTCCGGTCAGCGGCCACAGAACCAGCCTCAACCACCAGAGGTGCGCATGTGTGAGCCTGCAGGGGCCCCGGCCCAGTGCTCGGCTCAGAGGCCAGGAAAGCCATCCCCTCTGCCCTGGGACGTGCTGGCCCCCGGGACATAGTCGACGAGCGCTATGGCCGCAGATGGCCATGCCAGACAACGGCCACAGCACCCTTCCTGCCCGTGCCCAGGTGGGCAGCTGAATGAGGACCTACCCTGCCAGCACCCCGTCCCCTGACCAGAACCTGGGATGTGCCAGGTGCCTCGGAACCGGGAAAGCATGGCCCCGCCCCCTCGGCAAGAAGCGGTGCTATTGGTCGCCTCGTCTGCAGAGCACAGAAACTAGCCAGGCCTGGGCCGGGGTTGGTGTCAGCTAGAGCAGGCGTCGGTCCCGAGGGCTGTGCGAACAGGCTGGGCTCACCGTGGACTTGGAGTCTGGCTGTCCTCGAAGTGGAGACAGTCACACACATCTCTTCCCACCACAAATAAGCCCACTTCCTGGTTCCCACACCGGTCTCCTCTGGGTTTGGAGAGGACGACCGCTTCAATTTGGCTGACGACAAATCAAGCTTGGTGACACCTGCCCTCTCCAGAGACCGTCTGCCTGGCGCTCACGCTGCCAGCTTTTTCTCCTCTTGTAAAAACTCCTTCCCACAGTAACAAAGTTGACTGGAAAAGATCATTTAATGACAAGCAGCCATTAGAAATGTCGAGGCACAGAAATACTTCATGATGACGTCAACAGAAGGCGCTTCCCTGTAATGCTCTGGCACCTGAGCAATCAATTCGGCCTGGTGTTTTTCACAATTCTCACTTTATGCCAGTTCCAAATTCTTCGAGTTCTGCCAGCCTTCTCATTTAGCTCTGCCTATTTTGCATTTCAATAGAATCAGCAATTTCCTGTAAACTTTTAGTGAACGTGCTCCATGTATGTGTCATGGGAAGAGAAGGATGTTAAAGCTCCCGTATTCAGGAGGAAGGAACAAACCCACCAGAGCCCAGGAGGCAGAGAGGCGGTCCGAGTGGAGAGGACGGCTGCTGGGCAGCGCCGGCCCATCACAAGCACCACAGGAGCGGCGCCTCACCCACTGGCTGCCATCAAACGCTGGGCCACCCCAGTGTGGGGTCATCCCAGTGTGGGGCCACCCCAGTGTGGGGCCATCCCAGTGTGAGGCCACCCCAGTGTGGGATCACCCCAGTGTGTGGCCACCCCAGTGTGGGGCCACCCCAGTGTGGGGTCACCCCAGTGTGTGGCCACCCCAGTGTGTGGCCACCCCAGTGTGGGGCCACCCCAGTGTGGGGCCACCCCAGTGTGGGGCCACCCCAGTGTGGGGCCACCCCAGTGTGGGGCCACCCCAGTGTGGGGCGGCTGTGCAAACGGAAACCGTCGTGCGTGGCTGGTGGGAACGCAAAAGATCCGGCTGTTATGGGACAGTCTGGTAGTTTCTCAGAAAGTTTAAAAAAGTTACCAAATGACCCAGCAATTCCACCCCTGGGCAGGCACTTGGACAGATACTTACACACAAATGTCCACAGCAGCATCATGCAAAGGAGTCAGAAGATGAAAACACTCGTGTCCCTCAGCAGAGGAAGGGAAAGAAAATGTGGTACAGACAGACGGGGGGACAGGACTCAGCCAGAAAAAGGCACGAACTTCTGGCAAAGGCTACAACATGGACGGACCTTGAAACATCATGCTAAGTGAGAGAAGCAACAGGAAATGACAAAACCTGTAAAGTGCTACTTACACGGGACGGACGGATAAACAGTAGGTAGACGGCAGGGGAGGGAAGTTACTGCTCTACGGGTACAGAGTTTCTGGGGGGTGAAATGTTTTAGAAACAGACAGTGATGATGGTTGTGCAACATTGTGAAATGCTTAACGCCACCAGACAGTACTTAAAAATGGTTAAAATGATGAAAACGTACGTGTAAGTACATTTTATCACAATAAAGGAAGGGGGGGATTGAGAGGGGCCCACCCAGCCATTCAGACATTCAGGTGCAGGCAGGTACTTCCTCAAGGAAGCCAGTGCCGTCAGGAAGGCTACTTCAAAAGAGAGGAGTGATGCCTATGGAACAACACAACAGAAAATGGCATTTGCACCGTAACAAGGGCACACGGCATAATACTGCTAACAGCACGGCAGATAAATATACTTGTGAAAATACATATTACTTTGCTGGTGGTGGTGGCTATGCTGTGTTCGGTAAGAGTGTCTTTGCAGGAAACACACTGACATTATTTAGGAGGCACAGGGCATCTAGGAGGCAACCTAATCTCAAATGGGTCATAAAAACTTTTCATGACACTTGCAACTTTTCTATTAAGTTTGACCGTATTTCAAAAGAAAAACAATTCTATGGACAGAAAAACAATGACTCGTATACAGAACGATCCTATGTATTTCTGGAAGGCCATCCCCCAGACTCACCCTCATAGAAGCTGTGGGCAGAGCTGGAAAGGGTGAGAGAAGGCAGGGTAGATCCTGCCTAAACAGGATTTGGTTTTCAAAAGAAAAATTCATTTATTACTCTATAGTTTTTAAATTTAAGTAAGGGGAATTGGGAAAAACTAAAAGATAAAAATTACTCATAAGCCAACTACTATAACATCCTGTATAATAAAAGCCTAATATGCAAATCGACCAAACAGCGGAATGACCGTTGGTGGGGGGTAGGGCCAGCAGGGAGCGGGCCTAAGCCATCAGTCAGACACCCCCCGAGGGCTCCTGGTGTGAGAGAGGGCGCAGGCTGGGCTGAGGGACCCCTGGAATTTTCGTGCACCGGGCCTCTCGTTTGTGTGTAGCCATCCACACATACTCATGTGACTGACAGACGTGTGAACAGGATGCCACCCAGGCTGTTAGTGCCCATCTGAACCCATCTCCGATCAGAGCCTCAGAGACCACGGTGGGGCACTCCCGTCCACGGTGAGCTACCCCGTCACACACAGGCTCCACCGTGTGGCTGGTACAATAAACAGGTTTAATGTTATTCAACTCTAGAAGGAAGAGACAAGTACAAATCAATTAAAAAAAAAGACAACCACAAAAAGATGGACAAAGGAACTGAACAGGCATTCCCAAATGGCCAGCAGGCATACTCCACCCCCCAGTAATCACGGGTTGGCACAAAGAAACAGCACTTCCCCACTCGTTCTGTGAGCACAGTTCACACAGGAAACAGAGCAAGTCAAAGACATACAACAAAACTACAGAAGCCAAGGCTGGTTTAACGTCTGAAAACCAATGTAACAAATATTAACAGAATATGGGACAAAATCACAATGACCATTTCAATAGATGCAGAAAAAGCGTCTGATAAATTCTCTCATGATTAAAAAAACTCTCACCCTGATAAAGCGCATCTCTGAGAAATGCTCAATGCTCTTCCTGTAAGACTGGGTCCCAATCAAGGAGGTCCCACTGGCTGCTTCTGCTTAATGCTGGTCCACACACTGGGGGCTCCAGCCAATGCCATGGGGAAAGGGGTGTCAGTATAAATAAGAAAAAATGAACATCACCCACGATCCCACCACCTCGAGTAAGCACCTCGCATGCCGACAGGGTTTTACACGCGGTTACGGCGCACACTGGTTTGCCATCTATCCTTTCACCAGCCTGGTACTGAAGACACCTACTCTTCCCAGTGCTGTCACCACGGCGGCAGGGCCACGCACGCCCTCGTCAGGCGTCCCCTCGCCGCCCCACGCCTGCGCCTCTTCTCCACTCCACCCCACCTTCTTATTTTAGTTGTTTCGTCCCTAAAGTCCCACCTCCAGCCGCTCCTCTCGGTCTAACATCCATTCTGCAGTTAATTCTCCGTCTACAGCTGTGACCTCACCAGCGTCTCCTTAAAACACACAGGGTCCCCGTGACCCTGAGCTCGGGCTCACACTCCGTGGCACAGCACGGAGGGCGCTGCGCGGGGGAGGCCAGGGCGGGCAGACCGTGCCCACTGCCCTCATCTAGCCCAAACCCACACTCCCACCAGTGAAGAATCGTTTTTGTACGCTTTTTAACTGACAGAAATAAAAAAGAAGAGGCATTTCAGACAATTGGAGGCCTACACACCCAGCCATTTACAGAAGCCTGCTGACCCTACCCTGACACGCCCATGCTCTGGCCTGTCAAGCACCCGAATGAGTCCACCGCCTCATGCGGGCCTCCCTTGAGCAATGCCCTGGAGCCTCGGCCACAGCATGTCTTCCTTCTGCTTTCATCCGCGAAGATCCACCTCTTCCGCAAAGCCCGCCGCCCGTGGCCTCTCCAGCTCCCACCTGCTGCGCCTGCCCCACCTGCCTCCTCCTCACGGGGATGCCCTACAGAACGGGGACTGCCCTTGTCCCTGAGGATGACAATGAACTGTAAAGCACAGGCCTCTGGCATCCAGATGCCTCCGGCACTCAGATCACACAGGCGGCTGCCCAGCAAGGCCCCCAGCTGAGCTGGACAGCAAGACAGAGAGAACAGAAGAAAAGCCCAGCTGAGTCAGGGCGCTTCTGGGTGTCTGCCCAGCAGGAGCCTGGGTGAGGCTGCAGTGCAGGCCCTGGGAGGGGAGGGGCCGGCGGAGAGCTGCCGGGCCTTTCGTGTCTCTCATCCTAATGGCCCTTGATAGAGGCCGGCAGGTCCCAATCCTGGTTCATTTCCTGGAGCTCCTGGAACCTGCTCCTTGCAGCTCCGCCTGATCAGGACAGAGGCTCCCCCGGCTCCTCCACTGACACGGGCTGTGGCTGCGGCTGTGGCGTCGCTGTCGTCCCTCAGGACTCAGACGCTCTCCTCGCGGCCCCTCCCTCTTCACCCACCTCTCCGAGCCCTGAGCCAGAGACACTGGGCTCCAGGCTGTTCCAGGGCAAGGTCGTTCCGCTCCAGACCCACAGGCTCCTGAGGACGATGGGGTCAGGGAAGGACCCACAAACTCCCAGGCGCTCTGCACATGCTGGGGCTGAGCAAATACCAAGTCACCACAAAGACAAGCTCTGTTCCATGTGGGGAGCGCTACCAGACTCCTAGTGATTTTGTCATTTCTACCCTCCATCGATACATACCTCACACAATTACCAACATGAGGAACAGCCTGAAAGTGTCTGGATGTGAGAAAGAAGTTGTGAAACACTGGCCATGGCGGGGCCACTCCCTGAGGATGGGCCCTGCGCCCCGCCCCGTGGAGCAGCTGCCCGCCCAGCTCCCCTGCGGGCCGACTGCTGCCCAAGGTCTCCGGAGCAGCCCAGGCTCCGGGAGGCCACAGGACAAGTCCAGGCGCACGGCCCCCACAGCAGGGAGTGACCTGACCTCAGGACAGGCCCTGCACATCCTCAGGGCCCCGGCTAGCACCAGGCTCCTCCCCCTCCCATGATGGCGCAGCTTCCACAGCCGTCTCTCCTGCAGGCACCTTCCCTTCTGAAGGCGGGAGGTCAGTTATACACCAAGAAAAGGGAGAAGCCTGCTCCTTTTCTCAGATCGAAGAGGAACGTGAGCAGCAATCCCGTGTGCAACACCAGGAACACAAAGGCAGCCGCAGAGAGGGGCGGAGCCTGTGAGCACACGAGGCCCGGTGGGCAGCACATCCGTACAGGTACGTACAGATGCTCCACAAATGGCTGCTGGGAAGAGCCCCTATCCTCCGAGGTCTTCCTCTCCGTAGGCCGCCCGGACTTGAGAGAAGACGGCCCTTTGTTAAGCACTTTGCTTAACAGCAGATCACCTTAAAGTGGCAAAAGGTGGTTCTTGCAACCCCGCCAACACCGCCCCGGTTGCTAGGAGAGCTGCACCTGCCATCGGCTGTGGCTCACAAGAGCAACGGCGCCATCTGGTGGCCACCAGACTAGACTAAGCGGAGAAAACCCGGGCAATGTGTTCCCTTCTCCCTCATCAACAGAAGACCACGCTCCTAATCACACTGGAGACTTTTTTAAAATATATTTTTATTGATTTCAGAGAAGAAGAGAGAGGGAGAGAGAGACAGAAACATCAATGATGAGAGAAGCATTGATCGGCTGCCTCCTGCACGCCCCCTACTGGGGATCAAGCTCAAAACCCCAGCATGTGCCCTGACCCGGAATCGAACTGTGACCTCCTGGTTCATAGGTCCATGGTCAACCACCGAGCCATGGCAGCCAACGGGGGGGGGA